AGATAGATAGATAGATAGATAGATAGATAGATAGATAGATAGATAGATAGATAGATAGATAGATAAAAATAGATGAGAGAGAGAGAGGGATGGATGGATGGAGAGAAGAATGCAGAGACCTCTCAGTTCCCACGGGATAACTTCAAACCAGAAACTGCAAGGTGATCTCCAGCCAGCAAAGACACCATCCCAGAGTCTCCCCACTTGTTCCAGCTTTGCTATGCAGTGGCCTGCCGACCTCACTGGTTCATGTTCATTTAACCATGGTTTATGAACAAGCCAGGCTGACTTCAAGTGTGGTCTGTAAAGCCCAGTCACGTTATGGCTCCGCCTGAAGTGAGCTGTTGAGAATGTTGCACTCCTATGCCGGTGGGTTAGCAAATGAGGGTGCGAAGATGCCTCCGCAAGCAGGAGTCTGTCCCTCAAGAACCTTCTGGGGTGGCTCCAGGTGGGCCCCAAGTCAGTGTGATGGCAATGGTGTGCAAGATGTTTCAGAACACAGACTTCTCTAGCTTGAAACACTCTCGCTGGAGCCATAAATACTCTTCTTTTCCTTGCCAGGAATTTCCTGAGCTCCAAACAGCCCAGGTTTGAGCCCCTTCCCCCCCAAACAAGCTCCAAATGTTTCAACCCTGAAACCTTGTCAGAGGAACCTTTCCCAGCTTTCACAATGCCATAATCTTGCTGTGTGCCTGCCTGCCTGCCTGCCTGCCTGCCTGCCTGCCTGCCTGCCTGCCTGCCTGCCTGCCTTGGAAGCCAGGGAGGAGGAGGCGATCCTGTTGCACGATGTGGGACTGAACCATCCACTGGGACTGCCTGGTCCTGGATGGGGAAAGGCTGGGCAGGGTCCAAAGGGTGGGTGCCGAGGGACTAACCAAGAGTGTTATCGGGGTCAAAAGGAGTTAGTATTTCATAGACACCTTTTCTGTGGACTGAATGTTTTAGTGGGCAAGTCCCCATCTGGAGCAAGGAACGTGCAGTTTTAAGCCACTCCAGGAGAGAAAGTAGTGAAGGGGTGAAAAGAAATGATGCTCACTACCAACTTATCAAGGGGCACTGCTTAGAGGTCAGGGACCTGCCCCCTTGGTTAAGTCCTCCGTATCGCCATACCTTCGTATCTCTAGGCCAGGCTAGAAAGATTCTGGTTCTACCTGACACCCTGGAGATGGATGATTGCCCATCGGAAGAGATCTTGTGCCACTGGAGAGATCAGCAGGGTGTCAATGGTGACCCCAAATTCCAGAGGCAAATGGGAGATCTCTCTTCCCCATTCCATCAGTCAAGCCCAGAGATTCATTAAGGTATGACTTACCTGGTGTTGATAGGTGTGTATGGGTCGAAGAAGGCCTGGGCAACACGATTTCCATACCAGGAGGTAGCCACCAAGGCAGCAAAGCCTACAGGAATGAAGGAGACGAGGGAGAGGCTGTGAGTCAAGAGAGAAAACGTCCAAGGGGAAAAGTCTGCTTATATTCACCCAGCAAGAGTGGCTGCTTTCAACTATGACACCAGCCCACACCAGCTTTCCTCAAGATGGTACCTTCCAGATGTGTTGGATATGATATGGGAACTGAACTCCAACACATCTAGAATAACAGAATTGTAGTTTGGGAGGGACCAGAGGGATCATCTGGTGAAGTGTTTTTCAAACTTGGCAATTTATCTGTGGATTTTATCTCCTAGAAGTCCCCAGCCAGCATGCCAAGTTTGAAAAATATTGACCTTGTCCAACCCTCTGCAATGTGCAGGAAAATCAATTAAACCATCATGAGAGATGGCTGTCCAGCCTCTTCTGAAAAGCCTCCAGAGATGGAGAAATCACAATCTCCACAGACATTGTCCCATTGTTGTATAGATCTGAAGGATCCCAGTTTGGGGAAGGCTGGCCTACGTCTTGCATTGCAAAATAGGACTTCCCATGTGTGTGATTGTGTCTTGGTAAGACCAATAATTTATCCCGTTTACATCCAGCTTATCTTCTCTCTTGGATCTCAGATGAGATGCTTGGGACTCCCAAGTCATCTCCAGTTCAGCCGCTGTCTGCACACAGGCCTTAATTTCAGCAAGGGTGACCTCAGACTAGGGACCTTCTCCCCAGGCAGACCCTACAGATGCTTGCTTTTCCATTTCGCATCACCCTCTTTCCCAGGAATCGGACCTATTGGCACACACTTCTTTTCTCCCTTACTGAAGTCTCTGCAAAGCCGCAAGACAACGCGTGGGCCCAGGTGGAACCTGGTCCCTGCCATTCTTTCTAAAGAAGAAACACATTCTTCACCTGAGATAAGGAAGATGACACCTCCAAGGACAGCCATCCTCATCTTCTTAACCTCATCCTCTTCCAAGCACTTCATGCATTTCATACCGATCATAGTGACAAAACAGCCTATGAGGCCCAGGAGGATGCTGGTTATCATCAAGGCTCGGGTTGCTTGCAGGTAGGCTGGAAAAGAGAGGAAGAGCTTGCCTTTACATCCACGTGGGCTGAAGGGCCAAGAACCCGGCTCTCCGGTGCCCCAGGCTGAAGGAAACTCATGTTGCCACCTTCTGCTAGGACCCTTTTATTAGAGGTGCCTTTAGACAGGACGGTACCTGCCTTTTTTACTATTAAATTGCACCCCTTCCCTTAAAGGATTCCTGGGCTGGTTTTACACAACACCTAAAGTAGGGTTGGGTAGTCTACAGATTAGTATGTTGGGGAAACCCAGACATTGCTTTAATGCATTGTGGTAACCATATTAAGCCACCACAGGGTTTATTTCTTGGTGTTTCTCATGTTCTATAAACATAGATATTGTGTTTCCTAGCCATGGTTTAGGGTTTAATCTGTAGATTCACACATATATTTAACCTGGTTATTGAATTAGCCCAGTTTAAATGTGCCGTAGATACGTGGAAAAGGTGTTGCCTTTTAACAGATAATGAATGGCTGGATTCATACAGCACACTAACCTACGCCCCTGGCTTAAGAAAACACAATTCCGACATTCACATAATGCTTTGTCCAAATAAATCTGTCATGTGTCGGCTTAACCATGTGGATGGTTAACATAGCGTGCTGAAGCCATGGCTAGATTCCTACAGTCCCCAAAAGGTTCTTAACAACTTACAAATGACACCAAAGTAAAGTAGAAGAACTATGAGAAAAAATAACCCAAACCCTGTAACTTAGGTTTGCTGCTGTTGGTTTTGTCATGGCTTGGTGTGTGGTGCGAACTCAGAAGATGGGTTAGTCCAGTAATCGAGTAAGTCGTTTGACTCCAATAAGTCAGTTGAATAGAGACAGCCTACTCTTGAGTAAAAAACACTCAGAATCCCACCGCAGGCTCCTGAGCTAGGTTTGCCGCTTCCGTGGAACGCGTGCTGTGAAGCCGACAGGCGCGTAAACCTGCCTATCTTCCCACCAGTCCTGTGAGTTGCATGAGTCTTCCCATTGTAAAGAGCAGATAACTGAGGCACAGAGCTGTTGGCAGAAGACCTGATAACGGCTGAACTGACCCAATTTTCTGGGGCCGAACAACGCATTGAACAAGCCCACATGGGTTTGCCCAGCATGTGAAGACACAAAGCGTCCAGGCAAGGTTAAAGCTAACTAGGCTTAGCGTATTGTGTGAACGCAGCTCTTACTGTAAAATGATATGGTGGATTGATGCTAATTTTACCTGGAGTTTTTAGAATTGTCTTCGTGTCTGTGATAAGCCCTCTCGAACATCTCTCGCGGAACAAAAGTTGTTCCAACTAGTTTATGTTGGCTGGCCTTAAAGGTTGACTATGAAGTACCTTGAACAGGCGGATCTTCTGCCAGCCTGGCACTTCCCAGCACTGGACTTCAGTTTTCATAATCCCTAGTCCCTATCCATATTGACTTTGGATTATGGGATTTGTAGTCTAATGCAGCTGGAGGGCGCTGGTTGTGGGTGTGGGGAGGAATACTTACGCATTATGTTATTAGTTAAATGCACTAAGGAAGCATTTCTACAAAAGAGTGACCGAGTTCACACAATACGCTTAAGCGGGTCACGTAAAGACCTAGAAGATGCATTCACACAACATGTTAACTTTGGTTAGGCTTATTTTTTACTCAGCAGATTGCGCTAACCCAATCCCAGCTGGGTTTGCGAGCCTGCAGAAACCAGATCCGTGCGAGTCTTAAATCAGCTTTTTGGTATCGTCGTGCTTGGTCCTGGACCCCTTAATTACGCTCTTCCCACAAGGCATTCAGAATGACAAACACAATCAAGAGCATTAGTGACTGGCACATGCACGCGTGCACACACGGACATGAGAAGTAAAGCAAAGCCCCCACCCATTCCCTTGACTGCTGTTTTTGGTTGCTGTTGTTTGAATGATTTTACAGGTACGGTTTCCCTGAAGTTGAGCCAAATTTCATCCATCCAGTTTTCCTGGCAACGAGAGGAAGTGATTTTTCTGAGATGTTTTTGCAGCTTCGCTGGTGGTCTCCCTTTCAAGTCTCAACCCAGCCCAGCCCTGCCCAGCTTCCAAGATTTCTCCGCCGGAGGAATCGGAGCAGAACTTTTGGTCCACGCCGGCTTTCAGCCTCCCGTGTAGGTCTAACCCTTGTTTTCTCTGCTGCACCAGCAAAGCCGTCTCCTTGAATTGCTGCAGGACAGCCTCCCTCTCAGCTGACCCACCGGCTGCTGTGGGGCAGCAGGGTATTTTGAGGTCTCGGGTCGGAGCAGAGAAATGGCCCCTTGTCACCATCCCCACCATTTGCAGTATCTCAGAAGATATTGCAAGATACCTCTAGGACAGTGTTTCTCAACTTTGGCCACTTGAAGATGTGTGGACTTCAACTCCCAGGATTCCCCAGCCAG